TTTATGATTTATTTATATTTTTTAATAAATAAAAGCCAATTTATAAAAACAAACCATATAATCTGTTTGAACTTTAAATAATACTAAGGAACCCTAACATATCCTCTTTTTTTTTTTTATACCTGCTATTACCAAAAGAGACACTTTCAAGAATTTTATCTATATAATCAGGTTAGTTATCTACATAGCACATACACACATAAATGGCTTGATCAACATACAATTATTAAACTGGGATATAAAGGAACTAGACACACTGAACATGGCACTTAAGAATGAACACAATAAAGCACCGTTGCTCTCAAGAAACAAACGAACAAGTCCCCTATATTTAATAAGGAATACTCCATAAAATTGCAATTGTAAGCATCTGCTTACATGTCAAGCAATCTCTTTTAAACTAATAAAATGGCAAGATACCACAGTAACAGCTTTGACATGAATGCTATGACCCAATCAGATTTATTGTTGTCATCCACGGGAATTTTCCAAGTTTGATTAAACATTTCTCCTCCTCTCTCCAAAGAAGCAGGAAAACAAAAATCTTAGGTTCTTTCCTTAGGTGATATAAATCAACATACTGCCACTAAGATGTCAATCACCATCAACAATCTAATGTGTTTGTCTTTTGTCATTTCTATTCCACTAGCACGGGCAGGCCACGTAACATGTGTGCATATGCTTGAAGACTGCAGGGGGAAAAAAACCCAGGTCCCCTGCCTAAGTACCAAACTGCTGAAACTTTCTTTAAGTGTATCATCTGCTTCACTGTGGCTGTGCAGGTACCTGTATACCCAAACTCAGGGGAATTCACAGCACTCACAAGGGATGCAAGCAGCAGGAGCCCCTACTTTGTCCCTACAAGTGGCGGAACATTAATTACCCTCTTTCTTGCAGCACAGCGGTACAGATGAGGAGATGAAAGGCAAGCCCTGGAATGTGGATAAGGATGTCAGTAAATTTTCCTCTTCCTCTGAGTGATTGTCCACACATACATTCCACTGCTGGGGATGCCAAAACAGTGACCAGTCCACCCAAAGCCCGCTCAGGGGCTCAAAACAAAACAAACCACAGCTTTGCCCAATATGGTAAAACCAACGTCGTGAGTTATGCAACATCTCAAGAAGGAATAAGGAGACCTCAAGGTGGTCACTTTGAGGATGTCCATGGTGATTAGTATTTCCTCACCACACAAGATCCTGCTTTAGCTGCCCTGGCATGTGCTCTAGGAGATGCAGGAAAGCCTGGTTTGGCTTTTTCACAGCTTACCTTCACAGAGATTTTCTTAGTGACCATTTGGTTAGAGACCATTCTGGCCCTTACTGCATCCATAATAGCTATGAGACCCAAATGTGGATTCCACATTGGACCTTTTAAAGACTTTATTACTACATAAGAAGGGTATGGGGAAGGAAAAAAGACAGACAGACCGACCAAAAGGAAAGGCATTCCCTGGTCTCACCTCTCCCAGTAGTGGGTGGCTGCCTGAGATCACCATTAGTCACTATGTACAGCTAAACAAACTTGCACTGATTTCCTCCTTGAATGCCAGCAAGCATCTAAGATACGGGGTACTGAAAACTTGAGCAACTGATGGACAAGTGTCCATGCATCCCACCAGCACCCTTCAGCTCATGGCCACCCCAGGCTGTCCACAATTCTAGTAAAGATGTAGAATCATAGAATCGTTAGGGTTAGAAAGGACCTTAAGATTGTCTAGTTTCCAATCCCCTGCCATGGACAGGGACACCACACTAGACTCTGTCCAATCCCTGCCATGGACAGGGACATCAACCAAGACTCCGTCCAACCTGGCCTTGAACACTGCCAGAGATGGAGCATTCACAATGTAGAAGATGAGTAAAGGTCAACCACTTGCTGGATGGGGAGGTCAACTTTCAAGTCCTTCCTGGAGCGAAGGGTATCACTGATGCTGCCACTGAGCTGCCATACTTTACTGTGGCTCCTCCGCAGCCACCTGCAGTTCTCAGGGTAGTTCAGTGCAGCAGCTGCCTTGCTGGCCATCATTTCACTTCACTGTGTCAACTTTAGGGGCTGCCCCAAGGAGAAGCACCACTTGCTGAAATCTGCACTCATTGGTGCTTGTGGCACGTGAACCACACTGCAGTCAGAGGAGAACTAAACGCTGCTGAGCATGTTACGGTGCTTCTTGAACTAACGAACTTACTGTCCTTTTTCCAGTTTGCTGTGTAGAAAGTATTTTACAACAATCAGTGAACACACATGGACATTTTAGTCGGCAGGCCAGCACAGACACAAAACACACCCAACAACAGTAAAAATGAGCATTCCTAACTCTTATAAATGAATCCTCAAAAATAACTGTAATACTTTAAGTAACAATAAAATACCTCATTGCTTCTACTGGAGAGCAAGGCGGGGGGGGGGGGGGAAAACAACACACCACCACCAAAACCAAACCCCAAAAGACCTGCTAATAATTGCCTAAAAAAAAATCTAGGAAACTACCCAGCAAAGCAGCATTTTGGCTGCTGCTGTACACAATGAGCCTCTTCCCCTCTCCCTGCAGATTCCATCTAGCCCTTCCCCGCATTCCCATTGCATCCCTACTCATTAACCTCACACAGAGATTCTGGAATGCTCAACAGCTTACTAACTCCCTTCATCCTGAATTTGCTTTCCCAACACAGGAAGAGGGTAAAGCTATTTTAAGAAGCATGCATACACTCTACAGTATGCAAGAAAAAGCCCACGGTGTTAAGAGACAGTGATAAAGGAATTAAAAAAAAAGAGAGAGAATGCAACCTAATACTCATCTGTAATGCAAAATTACTTTTGTTTTGCAATGACAGTGTCTGAAATATCATTTTTCTATGATGCAAACACTGGTAAGCTCTGGCAGAAAGAAGAGCAGCTACTTGAAAGAGACTGTCTGCACCTCTAGCACCTTCACAGATTTTATTAGCAGCTGACAGCAAGCAAGGTTAGCAAGTCAGAGCCGATGCTACAGGAGATGGAAGAGTTACGCCACCACTGAGGCAAGGGGAGCAGAATCACTTTTCAGCAGCAATGAGCCATTAGGTTGGCTCAGAGGGAAGCTTCCCATCCAGCTAAGTCTGCCACTGTCACTTGTGAGTAATAAACTTTTCCGTGTTCAGTCTAAAAGATAAAATGGTGGAAAGGTAAGTATACAATACTGCACATCAAAGTCAGATCCTAATGGTCAAGAAGTACTACCAGGTCTGCATATTACTCCAAACCGCATGATATTGGGCAGGAAGCTTTCTGTAAACCCTTGCTTCTCTAGTCAAATGATTAGATAATAATTTCTGATCTCTCTCTGTGGATTTCTTTCTTCTTGATAAGAGAAAAAACAAAACTCACCCCCTCACCTCCAGACAATGCAACTTCTGCAGGCACCAATGCTGAAATACCATTTCCTCCCTGAACTCTTACCAAAATAAACTGATTTCTGTATTCTAAACTTCTGTAACCAAATGTCAGTATACTTTCAAGACTTCGGTGGTCATCCAAAAAAAAAAAAAAAAAAAAAAAGAAAAAAGAAGCACTACAGAAATTTTGCAATCTGAATTTCTATTCGGTGCTCAGAATTTAAGAAGATTCAATCTTTCATGAGAAAAATATATTTAAAAAATTAAACATTAATCTTCAGATTCCAAACACTGAGATCTCATTGCTCTGCCATACGTATTGCCACCAGCCAGTGCTTATCTAACACAGTATTTTCAAGATTTTATTCCATTTCAACTGTACTGAGAGCAGAATTCTGACTAGTTTCAATAACAGGAAAGATATTTATGATTAGTTTTTTCTTTATCCCTTTGAAGTCCAGTATTAATAGATACAGTACTAAATTCTTTACTTTCTATACTAAATAAGAACAATATGATGTATAAGCAAATTATATTAAGTTTTACTACTTGAGAGAATCATTTAGAGCTGTTACACACACACAAAAGCAAAATCACCTAGGGAAAGCTCAAAGTCCCATCCCCAGCTCAAGAGAAAAATTACCTGCCACACCATCACTACCGCACAGCAACAGCCCTCTTACACCAATAACGATCTAGCAACAGATACACAGGGAAAAGGTCCCATAAATTGACTATGCCCCTGGGTCTCACATAGGCATGCCTTAACAAATAGAATCAAGTTCAAGGATGTCCCTCAAATTGCAAGACCTACACGCATCCTAAAGATATAGGTCAGTAGACTGGGATAGGATGTTAGAAGAGAGACCATCAGGGATGAAGGCAATTGTACAGCCAATCTTCCAGCCCAGCTGGAAAGGGACTATTTCAGGTTGCACTGTCATAAACGGCACTGTTTGGGCAGTCTCTACAAGAATAAAGTGGACCCTGAGAAACAGAATTTGAACATAACTGGAAATCCAGGCTTAACTCACTTCTCAGGCTAATAACTGCTCCCTGCTTTGCAGTTGCTCAAACTTCTTATTTTTGATAGAAACTTGGAACTGATTTATCAGAAGAAATAATCAAAGACTACATACCCTTTTCCACTTAACAGATAAGTATCCCCTCTGTCTTACCCATCCCCTAATCCTGAATTAACCTAAGCATAACCAAGAAACAATGCATGCAACCCACAAGTTTAACCAAGAAATAGCTAATGCATTGCACACCATCATGGAAAAGTATTTAGAAGTTATTGCAATTAAATAGTCACTTGTAAAAATTAAATTAGTCATATGACATTTAATCAGGATGTGGTCTCCGCTCCTGTGGTGAGAACAGATGTAATGAGCTTTTATTTCCACATATATCATCATAGCTTAAATTCCAAGTCTGTAACAAATATCCAGGGTATATAGCTCATTTTAACTTTTTTTTTTTC